TTTTCCAGGCCAGCCTCAGACTTGGGATTCTTTTAGCCCAGCTTCCCTGGTAGCTGAGATTATAGGCATGTGCCATAGCACATGCCTCTTTCCTGGGTTTTGAAGATATGATAGACACCTCTTAGGCTTCATTGCATCTCACCCACCACTTATTCCAACTTTTGCAGCAGCAACCAGGTAGGCCCAGGTATAACCAGATAAGGATCTTGTCTTAGCCAGATCATAAAACTGTTATGCTCTCCAGCTTGACTTTCTTTGATAACTAGAATAGGTGTCTACAGGAATCTGCTTAGCATTAACACATACATAAATCTAGATATTCAAGGAAATTACACTCTTTGAAGGAAAACTTTGACTACTAAGGACAGAAAGTGGTGGTAGAGTTGCATCATCTGTCCCTTGGGTAGAAAATTCTACAGCATATTCTGTTTTTCTTGTTTGTTTGTTTGGTTGGTTGGTTTTTTTGAGACAGGGTCTCACTATGTAGTTGAGACTGACCTGGAACTCACTATGTAGCCCAGGCTGGTCTCAAACTCACAGCAATCCTCCTGTGTCAGCCTCCTGAGTGCTGGGATTAAAGGCGTGCGCCACCACACCTGGCTCCTACAGCATATTCTTTTTTTTTTTAATTTAATTTATTGGTACATTCTAGGTAGACAGTACAGTTACATTCCTTACTGGGATCTTGTACCTTTCTGAATGGCCCACAGGGAGCTGGGGATGTAGCTCAATAGTAGAGTACTTGCCTAGTATATTGAGGCCCTGGGTTTGACCCCAGCACTTAAAAGAGCAAAAAATTAATAATAATAATAATAATAATAATAATAATAATAATAACCTAAGTGGCTTACAATGATGAGGTATATGAACTAGAATAGTCCTAAAGGATGAGGATTTTGCTACTCTTGTATTATGCCCATAAGCACTGTAAGAATAGATAGGGCATCAACAACCAAATGGACAAGGTGACTTTTTTCTGAGTGTCAGTGAGCCTCCCTCCGTAGTATTCAAGTGATTATGTCATTAGCTCATGATGGCCTGGCCATGGTGACAGTGGTAAAGACTAGGCATGGACACAGCATTATCAATTCCCCCTCACCAAGGCTCAAATGGCTCTCACCATCTTAATAGCCTTCTGGCCAGCAGTAGAGACTAGCATAGGTAAGGTACTGCCCTTAAGGAAAGTACTCAGACAGTTGGTAGCAAATTGGTTAAATCAAACCTAATTCCATTCCTAGAACTGACACCTCTTTTGGATATGGTTTTGCCTTCTCTGACCCCAGTGCTGTTGCCAGCATTGCTATCTGAGGATTTATAGAATATCTTCTTTCCTGATATAGGATCCCACACAACTTTGCCTCCAATTAATTAACTTTGCCTCCATTTGATGGCAAGGGGGTGTGACAATGTGTACATGACTATGGGATTGATTGGTCTTAAAATGTATTTCATCACTCAGAGGCAGCCCACATAATACAATGATGGAATGGCCTACCTGGAATGCTAGCTTGGGCATAACACTATGGGGTTGAACTGCCTCCTTTCCCATGACGTATATGCACAGAATCACCAGTACTGATTCTCTAATTGCTATATGTGGGTCTAGGAATCAATGTAGAAACAGATTAGCCCTTTTCACATTATTCTCAATGGTGTACTTATAAAATTCTTATTAAAGCAATTGACCCTGATTAGTATGAGGAACTGAGGTTGTTCCTGCAAAATAGAAGTGGTAAGCCCAAAAGGAATCAATGGGGTATCTCTTGGTGACAATTTCAATGTCCAATCATAACTATAAATGGCAGCTGAACCAGCCTCAGCCCAGAGTGGTTAAAGCAATGCAGACCCCTTGGGGATGAAGGTCTGAGTCCTTCAAAGCAACCTAGATCATCTGAGGTATTGGCAAAGGATGGGGGAAACCTAGAATGATGGTGGAAGATGAAGATGACAAATACCAGTATGGAATTGGGACCAGCTGCAGCAGTGGGAGCTGGACCTCATTATATTAAACTTCTTATATTAAGACTTGTAGGCTCTAAAAAGAAAAATAAATAAAGCTGAAAAAAAAAGAAAAATAAAGCAAGTGAGGAGATGGCAACATTGGGTGACTATTTAAAAAGAACTTTCAGGAAGCTTTCTCTGGCTTTGTGATACTATAGCAGAAGCCTAAAAAAAAGTAAAGGAGAAAACCACATGGATATGTGAAACAAGAGCATTCCAAAGAGAAAAGGCAAGGCCAAAGATTCTGAAGCAGGAGCATGCTTGGTGAGTGTGAGGAAGCTCCTGTGGCTGGAGGGGCACAAGAAAAGGAGTGAGATGATCGGGATGGTAATGCAGCCCAGGCCAAGTAGTCAGAACTTTGTGTCTCATTCTGTGAGAGAGAATCACCTGCAGATTCTCAGATGATATATTTTACTCATACAGAATTTTTTGCCAGTCAAAGATAGGTGCATGAAGCACATGTCTATAATTCCAACACTTTGAGACTCTGAGGCAGGAGGATCACAAATTAATTTGATACACCAGCCTGGGTAATTTGTTGATTCGGTAAAACCCTGTCTCAAAATAAAGAATAAAAAGCAGGAGTAAAATGCCAGGAAGGGGGTGTATTTCAATGTGAAAGCCCTGAGTTTAATCTTCAGTGAAAGAGAGAGACGAGAGAGAGAGAGAGAGAGAGAGAGAGGAGAAAGGGGGAAGAGGAAGGAGATGAAGAGGAAGAGGAAGGAAAAGGGAAAGAGGAAGAGAGAAAAGGAGGGGAGAGAGGAAAGGAATCCATTGCAGTACAGAGTTTGGTACATAAAACAAAGATGCTCCATTGCTAGACATTAGGTCTTGGACTAAAAGAAAGTGGTGTAACTGTACTTGAGAGCTGATTTGAAGTTACTTCTGAGCAAAACCCAAACTCTTGTACATCTTACAAATCTTTCATACAGCATAACCCAGTCAGTCCAGTGGTCTAGTGATGAATGCTCAGAAAAATGCCTATATATTCCTGATTTCAGCACCTATTTAGTCTTTACTAAGAATTCATTGAAATAATGTCTCTCCAGTGAAAAACCTAAGAGTTATGTGGGCTCCAAGATCCAGTCCTTTATCCTTATGTAAGAACCATCACCATGAGCCAGGAAGCGTGTTCCTTACTACACATAAATCTTCTCTTTTGATTTTCTCAACCACCTGGGTAGATGGGTTTATTCTGCACAAATATATACATGAAGAAACAGAAACTGGAGAAAGGAAGGTTGAGTAAATTGGCAGTAGTTATTAGAGGGTAAGAGACTCGGCCCTGGACTTGAACCAAGAGCCAACTCCAGAATCCATGTTACTGTGAGCTACTCTCCATAGCAAACTTCTGTAAACACATTACTTGGGGCTCTAATCTAATTTTTATGGTCTCTCCAATTCTTCTATGAAAAATAGCCAACATTAACAAAAAGAGTTGATTTTTTAAAGTCCCATTTTCTTGGAAGAAAATAATTAAGACAGTGATCCTATTTGTTTATTAAAATCCCCTAAGTTACAGTGTTTCTTTTACTCTTGGACCATTGTTTGGTCCAATGACAAGAGTGGGTGTGTGTGTTATTCTGAGCTCCTTTGATATGTCTGCTACAGTCTTCCTGTGTCTGTTTTTTCCCCCCAGAAAGTCATAGTTCAGCCTTACTCTTACTTTAAAAAAGTCATTAGTGTAGTTGCATTCACAGAAGAAGGGGAAAAAACAGCTGTGTGATCTACCCATGAAATAGAGTTGTTTGCCCCACATGAACTCAGCCTTTTTTCTTGTGCTGGCTGTGAGCCTGTCCTCATGCTGGGGTGGAGAAGCTCATTAATGCACATAGAAACCAAGAAACAGGGCTGGGCAAAGGGGAGAAGGAGACCAAAGGCCCAGAGTGCTCCCACCAAATTGGATCCTGAGATGTCTGACACTGGGGCATCTATTAAAGTCACTTGGCAGGCACTTTCTTGGGCTTTTCACAATGAAACTGCAGGGATAAAGGCCATTCTGGTGGACTGGAGCATTGCCCAGTATTTGCCAATGGATAGAAGGGTCCTGGGGCTGGTGGCCATGTCGAATAATGGGTTCAGAAGTAGTGCATCCTCATTTGTCCAGTCTGTTCATACCCACTTTTGCTGTCTTGCTGAATTTGTGGCTCTCCTAGAACCATAATGAAGTATCTCAGCAAATCTCTCCAGCTTTGACGCTGCTCCTCCCCTTCACTCTCCCTTTCCACTTCATTCTTCTTGGCTGCCCTCACTGTTTGCTTTGATGAACTTCTGCCGCTGGAGTTGGTGTACCCTGCCTAAATGGCATTTCAGCATGGCTCTCCCCAGGTGCCTAGCATCCTTGCCTAGATTAATGTGTCAGTGGCATATGGTGCAAATGGCCTGTCGTTTGGTCTCAGAATCAGTTTAAAATATCTGCCAGGCTGCTGGCTGCTTGGCGTTCTGCCTATAGCCCCAGTGTTTGAGGAAGGACAGCAACACTGTCTGAAAATTATTTAGAGTGAATTTTCTTATGTTAGAATCTGCTTCTTGCCTTTTTCCACTTCTTTCTCTTCCCCTTTCCCTTGGTATCAGGTGTAGCGTGCATTCTGAGGTTGAGTGCCTAGAACCAAGGAAAATTTTGAGGAGAGCTTTTGTTGCATTGGTTCCTTCCTTGGCCCCACATCTTGCTCATTTTCCATAAATGAAATTACCTAGCTTGTGTTGTTTGAACACTGTTGCATTGCTCCTCTTCAAACTCTCTTTGTAGCTATTAGCTTCATTTTCAGATAAGAAAGAGGAGGCTCAGGGACTGAGCCTTTTTGTAAAGTATAGTGAAAGCCTTTTTGTAAAGAAGTGGCAGAATAAATTCAAACCCAGGTTCCCCCCCACACACACACACTCCACAGCACTGGGATTTGAATTCAGGGCCTCTCCACTGAGTTACATCCTCAGACCTTTTACAAATTTATTAATTGATTGATTGATTTTTGAAACAGAGTCTCACTAAGTCACTAAGTTCCACAGGCTGAAATTTGTGATCCTCCTACCTCAGCCCCAGGTGTGCACCGCAGTGCCCAGTGAAACCCAGGTCTATCTTGACTCCTTAGTCCAGTTTCTTTTCAGTCTGTTGAGTTCATGCATTGACTGCCATCTGCACGGTTACTGTACCCACACCCAAGGGTCTCAGGAGGAGAAAGAGTTTTCATTGCAGTTCAATGAGCAGAGCTCACAGTGCTCTGTGACCCCCATAGGCATTGTCAGCAGGTGCTTCTGGATTCTTCTTGCACCGGACTCCTTGTCCTGCTCTTCTCTCAGTGTGCTTAATGGTGGGTCATTGTTAGTGTTTAGCTGCCTGAGGGGTTCCTTACTCCTAAATCCAAGTGATGAAGCAGATCCTGCTGTCCCTGGGATTATCCTCTCTTGAAGAGTGATGACCTCAGGATTGAAGGCAGATGACCTGCAGGCAGAGAGAAGAGGATGTCAGAGATTCCTCTAGCTCAATTTGGATGGATGAACCAGAATAATTCTGGGAGCAGGGCTCATGGAACCAGCTTCAACAGGGCAATCTTTCCCCCCAGAACTGTTCTTTCTCAGTGTTTGTGTTTCACATGGAGCATTTTCCCCAATCTCTCACTTGCACCCTCTCTTTTCCACCACAGGTACCTACCCAGCACCCTTGCTCTAGGACATTGCCTTGTGTAGTCATCTCCATGGCACTAAACAGTTGTCACGGATGGACTGCACCCATTGGCTTCTCATGCTGGCCTCTTTCTGTGCTCTACCTTGCAAGAATCTTTCATTTGAAAAGCTTCCCAGTCTTTATTCTTTCAGTAAAACTCTAAACCTAGTTCAAGGTCTTGTTTGGTTTATCTACCGCAAGAAATTTCCTGAAAATCAATCTACCCCAGTAATAGTTTCTCTATTCCAAATTCCTTAAAAATGATAATAATGATTTTCTTCAAAATTATATAATTGTTTATTTGAATAAATAATACGTGGCCCAATGTTTAAATGTACACTGGAGACACAAATAAAGTGAGGAGTGAGTCTTCCTCTTGTCCCAGCTCCCCAGTTCCCATTTCAGAGGCACTCTCCTTCCTTCTGAGCCTTCCCAATATATCTGTACACATGTAGGTGCTTTTCAAATGCTGCATCAGCTCTGCATGAGAATAACTGTTGGCAATTTTGTAAGACATACTATGGTAAGCTTTTGGGGTTATTTTTTTCAGCCCTGGGGATTAAACCCTGGGCCATCACACTGAGCTACATCCTCAGCCCTTTGTTTATTTACCTATTTAAGACAAGCTATCACTACATTGCCTAGGCTAGCTTCAAACTTTTGACCCTCCTGCTTCTGCCTCCCTGGTAGCTGGGATTACAGGCATGCACCACCACAGTCAACTATACACACTGTTTCATTGACTCATACCAGCAACTTTATGACATAGAGACTCAGAAAGTTAAGGAACTTACCCATGATCACATAGCTACAATAGAGCAGAGTTAGAATTTGACCCCAAGCTGTCTGACTGCAGAGTTCAAGCTCTTAACCAACATGCTATATGCCTTTAAGTAACTCTTATATTGTCTCATTTACACTTTTGGTTTTCCAGCTAGATTAAAGGGGTACTTAGGATCAGAAGTAGTATGGGTCAAGGGAAAGAACCATCCACTAGGGAATCAAATCACATGGCTTTGAAACTTACTAGCTATGTGACTACAGGGAAATTTCCTAAACTCTCTGAACTTCCATTTCCTGATCTATAAAGTTAGAAGAAGTGCCCACCTCTGAGAGAGGCAGCAGTGTGATGAAGATCAGGGAAAACGAAAACGTAAAGCAGCTGGAACAGAAGAGAGATTCAGAAGCAGCAGTTACCAAGCAAGAGCCATGTCTCTTTAGAAATACAGTTGACTGCTCCCCTGTCCTGTGAGGAGTAGGAGGGGAATGGGGAATACTCATGTGATATTCAGTACAAAACAGACCTGACCTTTCCATACAGGATCTGGTAAGGCAAGAGGCTTTTGCACCTTGTTCCCATGGGACTTGCTCTGGGGAACAGTTGGTCATTTGCTGGTTGTTTAAAGAAATGTATGAAATGGTATGGAAGATTGGAATAAAGATTGTGTATATTATTGGGCCAGGGATTTAGCTCACCGGTGCCTCGCCTGTCTCACAAGTGCAAGGTCCTGAGTTTGAGCCCTGAAACTGCAAGAAAACAAAAGATTGTATAAATTATAAATTTTCTCCAAGGCCAATGAGCATAGATGGAGGCTGGACAGACTGGAAAGCTGGGGAAACACTAATGGTAACTTAGCCTGGAGCATTCTTCCTCCTCTATGGTAACTCCTTCACCACCCTTCATTCACTTCCTCGGGGTCTCCCATAGCCTCCAATCTCTCCTCTTCACCATGTTATTTTTAATTTTACACTTTGCACCTTCAATCCTAATATAATGATCCTGCCTACTGCTTTTATTATCCTTTGGCTGAATCCCCTAGAATGTAAGCTTTCTATGGGGGGGCAAGGGTCTCCCCCCACCACTGGGGTAACTTAAGCACTTAGAACAGAGCCTGGTACATGGTAAATGCTCAATAAATATCTTTGGAGAAATTTAAAACAAATTTTTTGAGACAGCATTTCACGAAGTTGCCCAGGCTGGCCTAGAACTCCCAATGCTCCTGCCTCAGCTTCCAGAGTAGCTGGGATTACATATGTATGTCAGGGTGCCCAGCTCAAAGAAATACAATTTTCAGGTAAAGGAGCAGAAGTTAAATTACTTAGCCTAGGTAATTTTGCTAGTAAACAGCAGAATCAGGATTGGGTTTCCTTTGCCTTCCAAATCAGTTTTTCTCAGATGAGAGTTTTAAGAAGTATATTCTAGAATTGAAGAATGAGTTGGCTATTGAAGAATTCAAACAAAACTGGAAATGAGCACATAGAGTCAAAATAACTGAACCATAAAAATGACAGAAGCAAAAAGAAAAAAAAAAGCATGTGGGTGGTTGCGTTGATTTTTGTTTCCAAATTTTTATTTAAGTACCTGGGACTATGCTGTCAGTTTATCTACTGAAATAAGATTCATGATCAATGTGCGGAGACGGAAATTTCAGACCTCATTATACACAAACTGAAGATTATTCCTTTGCTGTCACTGCAGCATTTGACACGCCAGTGAAAACAAAAGGAAATGTGTCTCAGGTGTCGCTTTTAGCTTTGACAGATGTGGAGATGCATGAGTTTGGGGTGTTAATTTTTGGTTAGGTTTTAAATGTGAGCATGTCCAGAGATGCAGCTAGAGAAACTACCACACAGTTCACAGTTTAGGGCTGAGGCTCCAGTGATGCCCTGAATTTCAGCCCAGTTGCACCCATACTTTCTTCTCTGTCTTGGAAACTGAAGAGGTCCTCAGCATTTGCTAAGCTAACCTTCCCCCAGAAACTCGGTCAAATTCCTTTCTCTCAGCACTTATTCCCTCTTTCTTAAATGTGTCTTTTCCCCAGAAGTGCAGATACCTTCATATTTCCTCCATGCCAATGCCACAAAAAGTAAACCTTTCAGTGCTCTCTTGAATTAGTTAACTATTGATATGTACAAATCACCCCCAAAAGGTGGCTACAGTCAGCATTTTTATTGCTCGTAAGTTAGGAGTTCTCTGATCAATTCTATCAATCTGGGCCAGTTTCAGTGACTTCACTTGAGGCAAAACTACTAGCTGGCTACTCTTATGCAGACACAGGCAGCTGGTGGGGCAGCTGGGCAGGCTGGCCAAGGATGGGCTCACTCACATGCCTGGAAATTAGCAGGTTATTAGTTATAGTGACATGAACCACTGAGCACTGATTATCCAGCAGTCATTTCTGTCTTGTTCTCACGGCAGCCAGGCAGGATTTGAGCAGGAGAGGGAGAAGGCAATTGAATAGATTCTGCTTCTAGATGGAAGGAGTTGCAAAGACATTCACACAGCAGAGAGTGGATTCTGGGTGAGGTAAAGAATTAGAACTGAGTTTGCAATCAGCTTCTATCTCTCTCTTCAACCTTAAGTGTCTACATAATTGTCTCCTTTGCTTTATCTCCAAACTTCCAGAGAAGGCAGGTGTCTTATTTTGCTTTCTTCCCTTGCCAACTTGTCACTCCTCACTCAAGAGACCTCATCTTACTACCACTATCTCCATTTTAATGAAACTCCACTCTTTAAAAACATCAGTTCCACAGACTGGAAGACACAAAAACAAATGCAGATGTACTCAGCTACCTCATCTTTGACAAAGGAGCTGACCATCCTCAGTGGAGGAAAGATAGCCTCTTTAATAAATGGTGTTGGAAAAACTGGATGTCAACCTGCCACAGATTAAAATTAGACCCTTATCTTTCGCCATGCACTAAATTAAAATCCAAATGGATTAAAGATCTAAATATTAAAACAGAAACATTAAACTTGCTGGAAGGTAGGTTAGGCAGAACTCTGGAAGACATTGGTATAGGAAAAGACTTTATGAACAAATCCTCAGTAGCACGGGAACTAGCAGAAAGAATCAACAACTGGGATCTCATCTTACTAAAAAGCTTCTGTACTTCAAAAGAAACCATTAGCAGAACTAAGAGACAATCTACAATGTGGGAAAAAATTTTTACCAGCTGTACCTCAGACAAAGGACTATTATCAAGGATATATAAAGAACTCAAAACAATCAGTCCCCCCAAATATAAAGACCCGATTCAAAAATGGGCATCCAAAATGAACAGACATTTCTCAGACAAAGAAGTAAAAGCAGCAAGTAAATATATGAAAAAATGTTCCACATCACTGGTCATTCGAGAGATGCAGATGAAAACAACACTGAGATTCCACCTCACCCCACAAAGAATGGCTGCTATCAAGAAATCACACAATAACAAATGTTGGCGGGGTTGTGGGGAGAAAGGAACCCTCCTCCATTGTTGGTGGGAGTGCAGACTAGTGCAACCACTATGGAAATCAATATGGAGATACCTCAAAGAGCTTGGACTGGAGGTTCCATTTGACCCAGCCATCCCTCTGCTGGGTATCTTTCCAAGAGAACTAAAAGAATCATATCACAGAGAAGTATGTGCACCCATGTTTATAGTGGCACAGTTTGTAATAGCTAAATCTTGGAAACAGCCTATTTGCCCATCCGTTGGAAACTGGATAAAGAAGTTGTGGTTTTTCTATAAAATGGAATATTACTCAGCCATAAAGAGCGAGAGAATAGATTCATTCATAGGAAAATGGATACATATTGAAGATATACTCCTAAGTGAAATAAATAAGTCACACATGTGTAAGTACCAAATAGTTTCCCTGGTGTGAATATTCTGCAACAATGCATAAGATTCTAATAAGATTACTGACATTCAGAAATTTGAAGAAAGGAGCTCACGGTGTAGGGAAGGTGTGATGCATAGGGGAAGAACAAAAAGGGAAAAGAAAAAAATGT